GATAAGGCGTTGTCACTGGGACGCCGCCTTGTCTGCTCGCCTCACCTAGAAAACCTTAAGGCGACTAGGCACTCGCCTAGGCGTCGCCTTTCCTCGCCTTACTTTCCCTTGATGCCTTGGGCACCATTAAAATTTTGAAAAACCCCATTTTTTAGTGCAACCCATTTTCTTTTAGTGTAGCCTAATAGACTTAGGGGCTGTTTGTTTCAGCCTCTTAATGGTTCAGATGTCTGAATGGTTCAGCACTTAATGGTTCAGACTGTTTGTTTCAGCCTCTTAATGGTTCAGATGTCTGAATGGCTCAGACATTTGCCTCTGAATGGTTAAGTATTATACAGAGTCTGAATGGTTAAGACCTCTTATCTGAATTGATCAGACATTTGCCCCTGAATAGTTAAGCAATGTACTAGCTCTTAATGGTAATGGTTCAGATCTCTTACTGGTTCAGCACTTAATGGTTCAGACCTCTTACTGATTCAGCACTTACCTATTCAGATGTTGCCAAACAGCCCCTTAAACTTATCTTCTCTCTCGGTCTTCTGTGTCTCGATCAAGCTTCCTTAACACACACACACACACATATATATACATACATACACACACAGTCAAAGTCAGCACACCTCTTCCTTTGATTTTTTCAAAAAAAAAGAAATCAGTGTGAAAAAAAGGTGAGCTTTGCTGTTGGTGTGGGTGAGCTTCACAGTTGGCAAAGATGAGCTTTGCGTCATCTAACCGTAGCACGTTGATCCCTAAATAAGCCTTTAAGAAAATTTGAAGTTTTGATTCACATGCTAATTATTTGAGATTTGACAGAAGACATACACCCTGACAAACCTTCCGACTTATTATTTTGGCATAGTATAACTCTTATAAGCCATCAGTCCAACAGTTTAAGGGGCTGTTTGGCAACTTCTAAATAGGTAAGTGCTGAACCAGTAAGAAGTCTGAACCATTAAGTGCTGAACCAGTAAGAGGTCTGACCATTAAGAGCTAGTATATTGCTTAACTATTCAGAGGCAAATGTCTGATAAATTCAGATAAGAGGTCTTAACCATTCAGACTCTGTATAATACTTAACCATTCAGAGGCAAATGTCTGAACCATTCAGACATCTGAACCATTAAGAGGCTGAAACAAACAGTCTGAACCATTAAGTGCTGAACCATTCAGACATCTGAACCATTAAGAGGCTGAAACAAACAGCCCCTAAATGTACTCCCTTCATCCCATAAAAACAGTACTCTGATGATTGCACACCTTTTTAATTCAAGTACAATCATAGAAAAGTCCATCCATTTTCAATGGAGCTAAAAGAGTCATTATTGACAATCTTTTAGTTCCGGACACATAATGGACTACATCAGAATGGAAAACTAAATTCCCATTGCTTCTTACTTTCTACAAAGTTTTGAGTAGTGAATGCAGCCATGCATTTAGGGTTTAACAGAAACATATTTGTTTTTAAAAAGGTAAGATTGAGAATATTTTGACTCCCCAAACCCCAACAACAGAGTTGGGATTATACTAGGTTGTTTTTACAACCCTTAGAAAGCACTAAATATATCTATATATCTAGACCAGAAAAATATAACTCTTTTATGGGGAAAACATAATAAGAAATAAGACTCTTTTTATGAGATGGATGGGGTACTACTTTTGGAAATAAACATTTTTATTTTTTCTCATGATCAACTTATCGTGAGACAATGCCACAATAAGGTTCCACCCTTATTAAATAAAGGATTATATGGTTTGCATTCCGCCGGGGAAATATGGTTTGCATCAATTCTCTCTCATTTGCATAACTCTCAATCACTCATTTTTAGGGCTGGGTTGGGAAAAGCAAAAACCGCAAACCGAACAAAAAACCAATCAAAACAAGCTAGAAAAAAAACCAAACCAAATAGACCAAAACCGAATGTAAAAAAACCAAACTGAACCGTTACTGTTTGGTTTCTGTTTTAGTTTTCACTTCAGAAAACCGAACCAAACCGAATAAACCGAACTTTCTTAGGTACTTTGCTTTATTTATATGAGTATATGTGATATAAAAAAAATCATAAAGCATAAATGCAAATAATTGATTAGTGGATTAAATGTATTTTTCTTAACTATTAAACATTTTAAACCATATTATCAACTTTAAAAAAACCTAAAAATATAAACATCAATAACTAATCCTAATACGGAATTATATTTACATTAACAATCGATACGAGTAGTTTATATAATTACATGAAAAAACTTTGATGCTATAATATAAATGAAAGTATTGTACCAAAAACGTAATAGTTTCGTAATTGATATTTACATATGAAAGCTTTGGGAGTATTTGGAAGCTCTTAGATGTTTGTTGGGCACTCGACACATTTTTTATGTAAAATTGAACCGAACTCTAACCTTCTATTTGGTTTTTGGTTATATGTAAAAATCAAACGGAAAAACCAAACCTAACCCTACATATTGTTATTGCTTCATCGAATTAGTGTTTTTACATCTTTTTAATGCTTATAAATTTTATTTTTAAAAACCGTAAAAACCAAAAGAAAATAAAATAAAAACCGCATAAACCAAACGAATAAACAATGGTATATATATTTTTTATGCAAAATCGAACCGCCACTGTTTTGTCTTTGGTTTTAGGTGAAAACCGAACCACCAAAATCGAATCCACCCCTACTCATTTTCACCTTGACTTTATAATGACCGTACCTGGTCAATATGAAAACATAGTTCAGGACAAAGGGAGCATTTGAAAACACATGGAGCTGTGTATGTCCAAATAAAGCAATGGGATGGGATTAGTTGCAACACAACTTATTCACTCTCTATAAAATATGAGGCCAGCCATAATCTTTCCAACAACAATCCTATGTATATATCTCGTAAGGATGCAATACAAAACGCGGTCCTAACATATAGCAAAGTGGTATGTGAGTTTGTTGTCACTAGACCCTATGTGTTAGGAATTATGGCTTAAAACTGTCAGCTGAAACAGTAATAATTCACTTTGGTTAATGGACCACAGAATGATACTTATTGCAGTGACGACTGACGAGGTTGCCATATGTGGTCAGAAGCACAAAGTGAAGCTAGGGGAAAAGCTTAAACTCGTTTATAAACTTAATTAGAAAAAACAGAGTTAGACTCTTTCCTTCATCCTGGTATGATCGTCTATAACCTTCCAACTTCTATCAAAACCATTTATGCTGCATTTCAAAAAGGCCCTAGCACTTACCCCAACAGCTCTTCCAATTGGAGTCTCCAGAATGTCACTCAGCTGCTTCTTGTACTGCAGACACAACAAAAGCGAAAATAATTACCAGATATTGGACAACTAGCATATATAATTTCCTGAAAGTTCACAGTTATACCATAGACTAGCTTTGCTGTTAAGTACTCTAATTAATGAATTTAAGTCTGTAGTACAGAGGTAAATTGAACAAACCATAGGCCAATTTCGACTGAAATCCAGAGTGAAGGTGTGCCAACGACGAGAAATCTCTAATTTGCGGTCGATTTCACGGGCACGGTAGGCAGTGGATTGAGCTGCAACCGAAAGTCGTTGCAACACCCCATATCTACGGTCGATAATCTCAGCTGTCTTCTTCGTTTCGTAAACAAAATACTCGAAGCTGTCGTTTGCTCGCAGCCAGGCGTCTTTCCAAGTATCGGCGGAGGCTATTCGCCTTGCTAACATATCAAAATCACTGCGCCTGAATGCTTGTATAGGCGCCATGTGCCGGATAGGAATGAACTGCCTTGGAGTATGATATAGAAGAAGAGTTCTCGCGGGGAGTAGGGGTTGCCATGGCCACTTTGTCGCCATGGATTCGGAGTAATTGGCGTTCAGAATTATCCAGGGAAAGGTGGACCAGACGATTACAATTCTACACTCACCTACACCAACCAAAAGTGTACCCCAAACATACCCACCACCTCCATCATCATACAAAAAAGACAAAGAAGATTTCAAAAAAAGTAAAAAATAAAAAGAAAATAAAATGAATGGTATAGATGTAAGTGGTGTACATTTGGGGTACATCTTTGGTGTACCCCTAGCATATCCCTTAAGTGAAATTTACCGTGAATAAGACTAAAACATAAATCATTTTTCAATGTAAGACTTAAACTTTTGTAGAAATCACCCCTAATAGGAGTAAAACATTATGCTAGACCCTAAAATAGGACTTCAAGTTCGTTATCCCCCAAATAGGACCTCTCCCGCCACAATCTTTCTTTCTCTCCCGATTTTGCCCTCCTTTCCTGTCCGCGTTACACATCCGAACTTTCCCCATCCTTGCGATCGTTCCCCATGAGTCTCTTTAATTTTGTCTTCCACTCTTCGTTTTTACTGTTATCGAACGGCTCCAGCTCTTTACTTCACCGTTTGGATTCGCGCTGTACTTGTCCGTTCGTGGAAATCGCTGAAGCCGGACCCCAATCTGATTTCATGATTTGAATCGTCCTTGTTCTGCATTTTTTTCAATTGTATTTACTATATAATCATCTGTTTTAACCAAATTGTAACCATTAGGTTATTGAAATTATCTCCCACTTATTGTGTTTTACTTTGTGTAGTTGTGTGTGTTCAATGGATAATCAGATTTGGATTATGGTGTATGTTGGTGGAAGCTGGGGAAGTAATAATGTGTTCAATCCAAAGTACACAATTGGATTACCAATTTCCAAGGCTAGCTCATTTGTGGATGTAATGTCTCACCTTAGATGTGGTATTTGCAAGGGTGACAGTAGTGTGCTTTTAAGAATTACTTATGCTGTTGGATCAATTCTTCCACCAGTTGAGATTAATGATGAAAGTAGCTTCCAATTTTATATGGATTTGAAATCAATTGATCATGACTTCTCAAAGCTCCCTTAGACACAACTTAAACAGGTATGTTGGTGGGGACAAGTTCGTGGGAACGGTGAAACAGTACTATTACGTACGGTACGAAACTACCTTTATCTGTCGCACTTACCCATCAGCTTCAGTGATACTGTGTCATGTTCACCTTACAGTTCACGTGATTATTCAGACCATGGAAGTGCGCAAGGTAGTGAAGTTATTCAAATGAAGGATCCAGTGCCTTTCCAAATTGCCACAGATCAACAAGATCTGAACACTATGCAGTCATACAATGCATGTGCTAAACCCAAAATCAATGTAGAAGTTATTTCGCACTACCATCCAACGTTTATTTGCGAAAATATGATCTACAAGTCAAAGCTAGACTTGCAACACCATTTGCAGATGTACTCTATATTGAACAATTTTCAGTACAGAACACTTACATCAAACAAAAAGTTTCTTCATGTTGTGTGTTTGGATGATGATTGTGCGTGGACAGTGCGGGCTGTTCGTTTAGAGTGTTCAAATCTTTTCCAGATTCGAAGGTGTATTTCTTTGTCATTTTAGAGTTATTCACATTATGGAGTCTATGTTATATGTACTATCGGATTTTATTTTGTTGATGTGTAGGTTTGATTCCTCTCATTCATGCTCTGTTGATCTGCGCGAAGGTGACCGTAGACAAGCTACATCTAGATTGCTATCAGATCTTGTTCTGCATCGCTATACGGATGCCTCCAAAAAACCATATGGACCTAATGATATACGAGAAGACATGAGGAGAGATTATGGTATTTCTATGTCATATAAGAAGGCATTGGGTGTAAAAAATAAAGCAATGAACAAATTGTATGGAGCTGATGATGATTCTTACCAGTTACTGCCATCAATGTGCCATGTATTGGCCCAAAAAATCCAGGATCTGTTATATCTCTCACAACCAATGAAAATGACCAGTTTAAGAGTATGTTTTTCTCGCTATGTGCATGGAGACAAGCTTGGATTCACTGCTTCCCAATTCTAATTGTAGATGGTACATTCCTGAAGGCATATTTTAGTGGTACATTATTGACCGCCTGCACACAAGATGCAAACTGGCAGATTGTCCCATTGGCTTTTGGCATTTGTGACACTGAGAGTAAGGAGACCTGGATGTGGTTTTTAACCAATGTGAAACGTGCACTAACTGAACCTAGTAACCTGTACATTATATCTGACCGCCATGAGGGCATTATATATGCTGTTGAACAAGTGTTCCCCTCCGTTTCTCACGGGTATTGTTCTGAGCACATACTTCCCAATATCAAATCCAAATTTAGAGGGAAATCAGAGGTGATTCAGTGGAACTTTAGAGGTGCTGCTCGGGCAGCTACTGTCAAGGAATTCGAAGAGTATCTTCAACTACTGGATGATGAAGATCCTCGAATAAGGGAATACCTCAACAAAATTGGGAATTCAAAGTGGTCTAGATGCCATAGTGACAAATCTCGTTATTCTAGTATGACATCAAATCTCGCTGAGTCATTGAATAATGTCAATAATAGTGCTAGGGAGTTTCCTGTTGCAAAGCTTGTTGAATTCATTCGTGATAGGATGCAGCTGTGGTTTCATGAACGGTCAGAAATTGCTAGTTCCACTCGCACCCCTCTTCCTAAGAAACGTGAGGGTGTCCTAATTCAAATGCAACGTGAAGCTTTTCGTATGAAGGTATGCTTTTCAGAAATTAGTCATTCTTATATTATTGCTTATGGAGAGTGATGTTTAAGTTGTTTCCATTCTATATTTTTGTATAAAACACAACATACTTGGTTGGGCACTCTAGGCCTTCTATTTATTTCTTTAATATTGTGGCAATCTACATTACAACTCTTTGTAATACTCATTACCACATTACATACTGTGACACTTTACATTACAAGTGTTCGTAATGTAAAGTTTAAGTTTTTTATTACCGAAGTG